CTTTTCCACCTGCTTGCCTGCGTTGCAAATAAAACCACTTTGTGCGCTCATATCTTGAACTGAAGTATGACTTTAATACCTCGATAGAAATAACCAGGTTGCAGAGTCTTTTGAAAGGGCCGCACAGGAGGGGAGCTGCGTGCCCGGGGCTATACACCGCTGTGTGTGAGTGAGTAGATGTGCTGTCACTTCAGATTAGCCCTGTGACGGAGAGCCCACAGAGGTAATAGGGGGTTCATAAAAATCATAAGAATGGTTATGGGCAACAATGAAAGATGTCGTATTCAGGCAGGCTTGTGTTACACCTATTTGGCCTGAATTACACTGCGAGTTCTGTGAGCGAACTGACAAACAGAGCTGACATTAAAGTGGACGTATTGTAACACGGGCTGACAGTCTGGGTGTATTGCTATGATAACGGGGTCAAAGGTGGCGATGGGCTGGGATAATAAAGATATGGGTGACGTATGGGAAGTCATAAATGATTACTGTAATGTTAAAGCTGTAAATGGAAAGTATTGATGGAAATATTGTGGTGTTGGATACGGAATTCCATTGTGGTACAAAGAGAATACACCTTCATTTGGTGAGATTATAACTATTGTAAATATAAATTATAGTTTCACACCAATCAAGAAGCAATTTGTGAAGGAAAGTTGAAAAATATGTTGAAAATTGCAGTTACAGAGTTCTAAAACATACTGATCCAAACATTTGGCACAATTTACACATCAGAAACACATTTTTCTAACACTTTTAACATGATTTCAAGAAAATAAAGGTGTTTTCTTATATTTGTTTTTGTCAGATAATAATTTCTGTGTACATTAGAGGAGTTTTTTAGGTAATAGTCATGTGATTGCTTAGTGTGATGTCACAATTTCCAGCCAGAAAGTAAAATTGTAAACCTAAAAAATAGCCAAACTGCGAAAACAATGTGTGAAAGATTTTTGCCAAAATCGTAAATATAATGATCTGTAGTGTGTTTTTGAAAAATATGTAGTCTAACCTGTCATAGGCATTTTAAGTTATAACATGCATAATTCATAGTGTTACATTTTGGTCAGTGTAAAACATGATATTGATATAAAATTGTATATGATTTTTTGCTTTAAAAGTGAGAAGAAGCTTACTAGAACTGATTATTGGGACAGACAGCACACAGCAGACATATTTTGACCTCCTGCTTATACAAAATACAAATCTGTATTGGGAGGAAACAGGTTCAGGTTTAACTTCCTGCTCATAGTGGCATTTCAGTGTATAGCAAAAAGAACATTTGCTTTTACATGTATTATTGTTGAAAATAGCCATGTGGCATTTTACACCTACATGTAGCCTGTAGTTTTTGAATAATCATTGGTGAGTACTAGAGGTGGGGACTTGCAAGTTGTGACTTGGACTCGAATCAGACTTGAGTCACTATTTTTAGGACTTGAGACTTGACTTGATAAAATGGACTAAGACTTGGGACTTGCCTTAGACTTGAAGGTCAGTGACTTGGGACTTGACTCAGACTTGAAGCACTTTTTAAACCTGAATTTGTTCTATTCTGACTGTAATGATTCAGTCTAAGATCTTGTCAAGACATTTAAAAAGGAAAAATTTGCATTTCTGCAACTCTTAAAAAAATACTCACATATAAATATACTATGACATTATAAGTACAATTTATCTTACTAAGACTTGAAATGACTTGAAGCTCAAAGCAGATAACTTGGACATGACTTGGACTTATAAGTCAGTGACTCGAGACTCGACTTTGACTTGTCTGTATTTGACTTGGGACTTGACTCGGACTTGAGATCAAAGACTTGAGACTTGCAAAACGATGACTTGGTCCCAACTCCGGTAAGTACAGTACAGTGGGCGGGGATAGGGGGTCAGTGAAAACAGCAATTTTCTGAGCAATCAAGCCTTGAATGCAGAAAAAAACAGGATTACTCAAAGTCAAACTCAATTGCTCATGCATGAATGAATCAAATACATACCAGTGCCATATGATCCATTGTGTACTCCGTGGACCTCAGGGACTGGCCTCCTGCTGGTGGCCGTAGTCAAGACTAAACATGGAGAATTAATTAGCATTTCAGTTTTATGTAGCTAAAATCTAGAGCAGTTCCTGAAGATGTGAAACAGGCTTCTACTTTGACAATGATCAAATCCAGGCTCAAAATCGTATTTAGCTGTGCATATGACAGATTTTTTATTTTTTATTCTGCGCTCATCTCTTTGATTATTAAAGAGCAGTAGCTCAGTTGGTAAGAGCATTTGTCAACTGATCCAAAGTTTGAATCCCGCTCGCGACAGAAACATCATTGGTTGAACAGTAACATCCACTAACCTACAGGCTGGTGTTGCGATTCTATCTCCCACAGATGAATGCTGCCATTGTCTGGACTCTTAACCCGTCTCGCCCCCGGAGTCTACGTACACTGGTGTATGAATGTGTGTGTGAATGGTTGAGTGGTTCCTTGTTGTTGTAAAATGCTTTGAGTGCCTTTGAACGTATAAAAGCGCTATATAAAAATGTGACCATTTACCATGACCATGTGACCATATTGATGATTATTTATGCTTTTATTTGGGTATTAAGAAGTTAACCTTCCTGGCCTCACAGAAATGTTTTCAGTAAACATAAAAATATACAAAAGAAACAAATATCTTGTGATACACTGAAGGAGGTCAATGAGGGATTACTAAAGATGATCAACAATAAAATATATATTACATATAATAATAAAATGTAGGCCCTAAACCTAACCTGATTTGAAATAGACAATGCAGGTCTTTGTGCAAAATCCAGAGGCACTTGCAGTTCCTAAATGATCCCACAAGATGGTGCCGTTTCTTCGACTTGCGCTACATTCAAACACATCAAACTTATTTGCTTATTCTCAACTAGAAAAGTCCTTAATAAAACAGTATCTACTTATGAAACGACATTCAGGCAATGTGCAAGCAAGCAAAGCCTAAGAAGCACCGTAGTCCTCACTGGTGAAAATAATTAATACATTAGGGTGACCATATTTCCGTTTGTGAAAACCCGGACACCTTGGGAGAGGGGGGGGTCTCACTGTTTCGTCTAAACCAAGACTAATCTTGGACTTGAGAGAGAACGCTGTTTCAGTCACGTGATCATGATGATGCGTGAATTTCAGGTGGAGGGCAGAAAGTGAAGACAAACACGACAAACACGGCTCTGGAGAACACAGATATGGAGAAGAGTTCTTATTGTAAAGATTTAGAGCCCGTAGCAAGGCAAAAGTACGAGCAGTTAGTTGACAAATATATTGGGCATGACCCTGATCTTATTGAAAATGAGAGAATTTTCAACCGAAGTAAAAGATTTGTTGACAATCGAGGCAGAGGAGATGACGAACTATTTAGCTCTTCAGACATCGTTCTACACCAGACAACAGATGAAGGCGTACAAAAGTTTGGAGGCATATAACTTTTTTTTGTCAGTGGATGGGTCCTCAACCTTGGTGCAAAACGACTAAATGATGATTATCGTTTGGTCTTCGCCAGGGTTGAGTGTTTCTCTTATTTTATGTGTATAGACCGTTATGGGAAAAACTGCAGTGTATTGGCAGTAACCAGTCTATCTGGGTAACAGGTTTGTAATCCACTTTTTACGGCGTTTTTCTGTCAGCTTTTCCCATTTCTGACCTTTGTGGACGACTATATTCGGTACTCAAAAAAAATCGCTTTTCCTTCTCTCGGTTAAAACAATTGGCACAGCCGTAAACTACACAACACATCGGCATTTTCCTCCAGTCAGTTCACTTCCTGCCCTCCATCTAATTTTGCGTGCTGACAAACGTAGCCCTGTGACGTCACGTGAAGCCCAGCTATTCGCGCGTCATCGTGATCACGTGACTGAAACCCTCCTATTGCAGCGTGAGGTCTTTTCTCCTCCAAGCCCTTTCCGACGGTGAGTCCTGTTTCAGTTCTGGTTTAGTCCTGGTTTAGTCCTTGTTCAGTCGTGGATTAGTCCTTGTTCAGTCGTGGATTAGTCCTCCTCTTCAGTCCAGGAATCAGTCCTGGGTTAGTCCTGGTTTGGTCTTGGTTCAGTCCATGGCGTAGGCAGCGCAAAAGTTTGATATAATCTCCGGTTAACGGGCGGGTGCGGTGTTGTACTGGGTATCATTCGTTCATTCGTTTTTCAATATAAAATCAAAAATAAGAAAACGAAAAAAACAACAGTTTTCTTCATTATTTGTCTCCAAAACCAAAATTTAAAAAAACGGATAACGATTCGTTTTTTCAGTTTTCGATTTTGTTTAAACACAAAAATCGTTTTTTCAGTTTTCGATTTTGTTTAAACACAAAATCGAAAACTGAAAAAACGAATCGTTATCCGTTATCCGAAGAATGGAAAAAACGGATAACGGCCGTTTCCCGTTTACGTGACTTCCGTGACTGCGATGCCGGACTTTTGCACCGCGGACGTTTGGTCACCCTATAATACATAAGAGCATGCATAAAAAATTTAAATGAAAAAACAAGCCTATTATAAAATAAAGTTACGAAATCCAATTTAGGGACATTTTAAAATATGCTAATACGATAATTATTTAGACTATGTTTACCACTTTCAGTTACATGGGAGTGGGGTATTTTACAACTTACAAAAGGGGAAAAGGACACCTACATATTATTTAAATTTTTATTGTATTTATATTGTATTGTTGCTTAAAACCTTTTCATTTAAATTTATTTTTATGTAGATTTTTTTTATTTTTTTATTTTAGAATTAGACCGGCACAGCTATGGGGAAAAACATAAACTAAAGAAATTACAATTAGAAGTTAATTTCGTGAAAAGGCAAGTAAAGCCTGGGATCAGAGAATAAACAACTCTTGTCCTTAACTAAAAGACTAAAGATCTCATATTCAGTGTTAATATTCACTTTCCCCTATGCTTTCCCCTCGGAGCGTGAAGACCCTGAACCTGTCTGTGATTGGTTCGCGACGGTCACCTGACCCAAACTCTGAGTCACGTGACTGATATTCCACCCTCGCCATTTTGCAATGTGGAGAGCAGAGCTTCTACTTTTTATGGCAGAGAAATAATCAGAGCGGCTTATGCGCTGAGGACAAAGACCAGCGCGCTGATCTGTGTCCGTGAGTACATTTCATTTGTATACGACGTCTGTATTCTTCAACACTCATTAACAGAAGAGACAGTTAAATCCTGCTCGTATACTCGTGTTTGGTTAGCTTTTAGCATGTGTGGCTCGTGTGGTGAAAAGAAGGCAAGCTATGCGCCGATCGGGCTCCAAAACTTGCGTGGTCCGTCACTATTTCTGAAAACTCTAGCGTTAATGATTCTGTTAAAGTTGTAGTATCTGATCTCCTACCATTAACATTACAGTGACATTTAGCTAAGAGGTTCTGTTAAGAGTTAGGAGGCAGTGCCCAACTTCTGTGAGCTGCAGGGGAGCCACAGTGGATGACATATTTTTAGCCCCTGACATAACAGGTGCTGGTTTGGGACTGTGAAAAGCACATGCTAATATCCACTGAGGGTCTGAGCTGAGTCCAGTCATATGATCTGGAAGAGGGGCTAATAGTTATTAAAAAATATTATATTATTACAGCTCTTATTCATATATTTTTTCTTCATATTTATCCCACATTTAACCATTGCAGATTATTATAGTAGCCTATTGATTGAATTGAATGACTTAATTTCTCTTCTAAAATTCTCACAATATATTTTCTTTATTATGAATATGTTACCACCTGGATAATCATGATTATCAACTAAATAATCTTGACCTTCCAAAAGGTCACACAGACAATGCAGAACAGACGGTAAACAGTACAGTACACTTCTTGAACTCTCTTTATTATGCTTTAGGAGCACTAAGCGGAAGTAGAAGAAAGAGGAAGACAATTTGTGGTCAGACAGACGAAAGTAGTTCCCTTATAAGTTGTAAACAAAAGCACATGTCTTCAGTGTAGTATTCAGAGTTGCATTATACTTTTAGGTAATTATTAGTCTTTTTTACAGTGAATTTACTTAGTTAGTTTAGCTGCCTTTTATGTCACATAGCTTTAAAGATAATATAAGTTGTGTTCTAAAGGCATGCTGGAAAACTGCATTGTTAACCCAAGTCATATGTCACAGGCTCCACAGGGGTCAAATTACCATATCAATTCAAAGTGATCTGGGAAGACACAAACACTTAATTTATTTCACTCAGTAACAATTTGTAGTCATGTTGGTTGTTTAAACAACAGAACAATACAAGGACAATAAAAAACTGTCTAATATTCACACTTAGTAATCTATGTTCTTTTTTTAAATTGCTGTTGTACGAATTTATGCCTTAGCGTTTTTTTTTTATCGAAGTAGTAAATCTAGTAGGTGTGGTTCTGCCGCAGATTAATTGCTTTAACTTTGATTTTGGAACATCATTAAAATATGTGTTTCTTTTCATATAGTGATGTCCAAAAATTGACCTCTAAAATAATTAAGATGCCTTATAACATTAGAAAAAAATATATGTATTTTGTGTTGAAAATTACATTCTGTTGTTCCATCATGATGGTATTAAAATCAACAATTTTCCTCTCACAATAGAGTTTGAAATTTTTGCATTGTTACAACATTAATGGGGAAGAGGTGGTGTTTTATTGCTTCTCCTCTATGTAATAAATATTAAGTTAAAATGACTAGCTAAAACTGCTATTCTACACCTCTTTACTTTTACTACTATGCTTTAACTTGCCTCTTTTGTATTTTAGGTGATGGAGGAGGTCAGTGACACAGCTGTACTGGTCACCTCCTCGGCCCCTCAAAGTCAGACCCTTCAAGGTTCCTCTGACCACAACCACGCCAGCTTCCAACAGAAACAAGCCGCCGACTCTCTCATCCAGGTCATCCAGAAGCTCAGCAAGATCGTCGAGAAGCGGCCCCAGCGCTGTCGCACCTTGGCCGGTCAGAAACGCCTGCTCTACGAGGCCTCCACCAGGGTCCCAGGAGTCTCTGCTTACAGGAAAACCCGCAAAACCTGCAAGGAGGAAGAAAGCTTTGTCAGCACAGATGGCGCTGATGAAGATGCTTGTATGCTAACATCGGGTGACAGCAACAACAACATTGCCACCTCCGTTACTGAGATCGCAGATAACCCTGGGAGCTCTGAGCACAAGCGGACAGTGACATGCTATCAGTGTAGCCTCTGCCCCTACCTCTCCCCTACCCTGAGCCTTTTGAGAGAGCACCTCAAACAACATGATGAGAACCACAGCGACCTCATCCTCATGTGTTCTGAATGTCGCTTCACCTCGCGAGACCAAGACCAACTGGAGGCGCATGTCAAACTGCATTTCGACAATAGCCCCAAAGACAGAATTAAAAGTGAAAGTTCAAACGAGCTAGTGCAAAAGAAATGGTACAGCTACGAAGAATATGGTCTCTACCGCTGTCTCATTTGCAGTTACGTCTGCAGTCAACAGCGAATGCTCAAGACGCACGCATGGAAGCATGCCGGGTTGGTGGACTGCACTTACCCGATATTTGAAGACGAAGAAGGGGCCGCAGGAGCTAGCAGGAGAGAACCCCAAATTGCTCAGGTCTCCGCCTGCGTCACCACAACCAGAGAGGAAGTGGTCCTGCTGTCTCCCGTCGTCCAAGATAAAAGCACACAAAATGTCCAGTCCGGTTTGAAACTGCAGCTGTGTGTGCCGTTGGCAGTGGAGAATAAACAGGATGTCTCCACTCAGTCCGAGCCCAGAGTCGTGAAGCTAGAGCAGGAAATATCAGAGGAAACCGTGTATCCGATGAAAGACGTCGTCGCAGATGGGCCAGTGGTGGAGGTGCAAGTAACCACGGATGCGGAGAGCCATGACAACGCTTCAGACAGCTTGCTCTCTTCCGCTCAAAAAATCATCAACAGCAGTCCTAACAGCGCCGGACACATCAACGTGATCGTAGAGAGGTTGCCTTCTGCCGGGGATGCGGTTTTGACCACCAACCCTCTTCTCCTAAGCCCGGACGAAGATGCGGACAAGAGCATACTTAATGCATCCAAACATATCAAAGTAGAGGATGAAGAAAGTGACAGTACTAGCTCTGTTGATGGCCAGTCTATAGCTGAAAATACCGTATCTACCACTGACTTGCCGAGGGATGAAAACGTACCTCCGACCGGCCGCAAAAGAACGCATTCAGAATCTTTGCGCTTGCACTCGCTAGCAGCCGAAGCCCTTGTCGCTATGCCCATGCGAACGCCCGAACTCTCCAATTCGAAAGTTGTTCAGAAACTTGAAGAGCAGGCATCAGACATTAAACCAAGTGTCGTCAAACCCAAACGAGAACAAAGTTTGGGGTCACTTGGTGAAGGGGACGAAGAGGTTACTGCTACTAAAGCTGCGGGCATCAGTTTGTCCCTCCTCACAGTCATTGAGAGATTGAGAGAGCGATCAGACCAAAACACGTCTGACGAAGATATACTAAAAGAGCTACAAGATAACGCTCAGGTGCAAAATGGAGTAACGGGGGGCGTAGTAACGGGGAGTGGAACGGCGAGCTACGTGGATGGATTGGTAGCGTCTTCTGATAACAGCCTGGTGGACTATATTCAGGGCAGCGACAGGCCGTACAGGTGTAAGTTGTGCCAGTACAGTAGCGGTAACAAAGGCTACATCAAGCAGCATTTGAGGGTGCATAAGCAAAGGCAGCCGTATCAGTGTCCCATCTGTGAACACATCGCCACGGACAGTAAAGATCTAGAGAGTCATATGATCAACCACTGTAAGACCAAGATGTACCAGTGCAAGCAGTGCCCGGAGTCATTTCACTATAAGGTGAGTCAGATGCAGGTAATTATGGGTTTGCAAATTAGATGTATAATTGAAAATTTTTTGTATTTTTGGGCTTGGGTTGACAAAAAAAATCTATATTAAAATGACATTGAATCAATAGAAAATAATCACATCAATAGAGCATAGCTGAATGTTTCCTGAATAGATTCAATAATGATCTGTAAGGACAAGTCTGAGTTCACATGGAAATATTGGCAATGGTAAAAATCTACCATGAGGTGTGTGGAGAAAAATACTTTATTTTCAGAGGAAAAAAATGTTGTTAAAGTTTTTAATGAAAATTGTTAACAAGCTTTACTATCAAAATTGTGTTTAAAATGTTAGTATTGTGACAACACAAAGGATTATTATTTTTATATTGTAATATGAATAAAACCTTTTGAGATGAGTCAAAATCACATTTGAGCTTCAACTGACGTAATAGAACTTACCACAAGAAAGAAGAAGCAATACCACAGTTTGAAATGTTTTTTAGGTCTGGAGAGCAAAAATGCATGTGCATTAAAATAATGGCAAGTTGTTGTTCGTGGTTTATGTTTAATAGGCATAGTAAATTATCTTAACCAGATTCTTCATGAAACAGTTCATGTGTAACTCCAACTTTTTTATTGATAACATAGAAATAGATATAGATAGATAATACAGAGAAGTTAACTTCCATTTTACAAATACATGCACAGATTGTGTTATTCTTAATCAAGAGTGGATTGTTATCAGTCATAATGGATCATGTTTACATTATTGTTCTCGAGGGCATTTGGTTGAAGTATGACTTGTTATCCTCCATATGCTGGCTGTTGATGTGATGAATCTGCACAGGCCTGAGGGTGTCTGGGAGAGCAGAGCAGGCCATGTTTAGTCATGCCCTGCATATGGACACTGTTTATGTGTTCTGAGTGTGTATGGCGATGTGCTGTGAGTTTTCGTCATTCTCAAACCCAACAAGGATGTCACAGTTTATAGGGCTGGTTCTATGGTTAGAAATGGAACTCTTGCAATCTGGTTTTAGCTACACAAAGCAAGAAGTTACTCTTCAGACAGTTGTTGTGTATTTTAATCTTTACACAACACTAAATTAGTATTAAAGGTTCACTTCGTAACATTAGAGATGCAGGTTCTCCACCTGCTTGTCTCCGTGGAGATGTAGTTGCTTTTCTTGGAGTGTTCCACTGTTAGTATGGCTTTAAATTCAGGGTGCTATTGCTCCAAAATATCTTTGAAACATACTTGAGCAGGCACAACTTTTTGCAGATCTGACCTGTCCTTCTCTTACAAGCATCACCAGGTTTATACCATGCTGTGGAACATTCTAGTCAAATTAATTACATTATGCATACAAGCAGACGACAGATCTTCCAACAGAAGTAAATTTACTAGCACCTCTAAATAATACAATGCAATTTAGAAACTGCAATCCATTAGTAATGCAACACGTTCATTTTATTATTGTGATCAACAATGCGCGAGTCAATAGCAGAATTACAATTGGCAACCCTAACACACCCAGTAAAAGTTTATTGCATCTGTTAGTGTAATTTGAGCTTGGATTGAAAATGCAATAAAGCATTACCGCAGGGCAAATATTTAGCTTCTCACTTATTTCCTGGTGACAGCTCGGCCAACAAACAAACAAATGCAAAGTACAATGGGACGAGCACTGCAATACTAAGCACCTAGCATACTTGGCAAACGGAGCTACAGCGTTTGAACTGAGAAGATTGTTTTGTTAGTGTTTTTCCACAGATTGGGGGAATTACATTGCAACACTTGGCACTTTGTTTCCTAAAATGGGTGTCCTTATTAGGGCTGTAGTCGACTAAATACATTCTTTAAAAAGGGGCGTGATTAAAGATCTGAGAACTATCATCCAAACAGCACTCACAAGACTACAAGTGCTCGGGAGTTCATGCAAAGACAAATATTTATGCAGAAGAAAACGTATTAGGAATTAGGGATGCACCAAACCAGCTTTTTCAGTTCCAATACAGATTTCTTTACTTTATCTATAAGCAACTGCCAATACCAACCTATAGCAGTAGAGCTTGAAAATAATGATGTTTCCTTTTAAACAATAAGAAAAAATAATAATGTGTTATATAACTGTTTTTTATCTCTCAAATAACTACAAAACAACTCTGTATAAATAAAAAATTCTAACTTTATGAATTCCTGGGGCAGCTATGACCAGTAACTAGTCTTATTACAAGTAGGGTATCGATTGAACCGATATTTGGAATCCGATCCATCAAGTTTTTCAGTATGGCCGCCGACAATACATGTTAAATGGATTTGTACATAACTAGATGAAACTTGTGGCTCTTGAGTTTAATCTGACACTTTATGATATTTTCTGGTATTGGAATGAACCAAAGGAAGCAATGTTGTTCAGTTAACATCTTTTATTTATTCTTGCACACCTTTCTTATCTGCTTTAGTGTCAGCTGAGAACCCATGAAAGGGAATTCCACAGCCCGGACGAGGCATCAGTGACTGAAAAGGTGACCAAAGGGGAAGAGGCATATCGCATTACAGGCAATGGTGAGCCAGATTTGCATTGGTTTTCACACGCTTCAGTGAACTATGACTTAAGTTTACCTCATAGTGTTTCCTGAGATGACACGAGCAATCCATTTATTTCATATTAAAGGGCCCATATTACACTATTTTCTGATTTATGTTATAATGTATGTATGTTTCCTCATCACAAACATACCTGGAGTTAGGGTTAGGGTTAGTGTTTTGTTTCATTCACACATGTTTAACCCCCAACCCTGCATAGTTAAGCTTAGCTCTTCTCTCAAACAGAAAAAACGCTCTGTTCCACCTTGTGATGTCATGTGACGCTCCACTGTGGGTTTTAAACTCCGTACACCTTCACTAGAATCATTTGGATGATTTCACCTCTGCAGTTGCCAATCTATACTGAAAAAAGGGTAGACTAAAACAGACTAATAACAAAAGGATTACTAAAAATGTGTGAATGAAACAAAACGGAGGCTATTTTGCGCAATGTAGGACCTTTAATGTCACATTATATCACATATACTGATGAATAACACAGATACGATATAAAAGGGTTATGGTTACTTCTATTGATGTATAACCATTTTTGTTGGGGGTAAAAATAGACTATTGCACTGCAGTCTTTTCTATTAAAGAGAAACACTGCCTCTAGAACTAGCAAGGAAATATTGGCAGAAGTTGATAAAATTTTTTTTTTTTTTTTAATAGAGCACAATGGCCAGAAAATGTACAAGTGTGACGAGTGTAATTACACCAGCTCCACCTATCTTGGCGTGAGGAACCACAGGCGGATACACAACGCAGACAAACCTTATCGGTAAGATTGTTGGTTTATCAAACTGCTGGACCTGCACAAATGTGAAGGAAGTTGAATTGAAACAACTGTTTGCTATGTCAATATCAAGTACAGTCCAACCCAATTTGCGATGTGATAATGATGCCAGAAATGTTATGTAAATGTAAAAAAGCATACACATTTTACAATTTTCATGATGATCTAAATCATTAAACCATTCACATAATCGAATAGATTACCATTACACTTACATGTGACCATCTTTTTAAACTAAGCTTGCTGAATGAAAAGGTAATGTTAATTAGAGCCCGACCAATATGGATTTTGTTGTGGCCGATATTAAACCGATATAATGGGAGTTGGAGCTGCTGATAGCCGACATAATCACAGATGTATTTAGTGATGTAAAAATTCACTGTAAATCTTGAATTGATTAAAAAACTTAGGTTTGGCTCTAGTGGATTCTAAATTGGGTTTATTTAGGCAACATTTAATGTTATTTTAACTCTTTACATCATATTTACATACAGTAGATTGGCCTAATGGCATTTTTGCATCACATTCTAGCTGCTAGTGATAGGTATTCCAGTTTTTTGTTTTTTTTTGGGGGGGGGGAGAACCGGCTCTTTTGGCTCGGCTCACTAAAGCAGCTGGCTCTTTCGGCTCCCAAGCGACTCTTGATTGTTTTGTTGCAACCAGGACTAAACCAAAACTGAACCAGGACTGAGTGTCGGGACTCGGTTTCTATCTCTCTCCTTCACTCGAGCCCAAGATTAGTCCTGGTTTATTCATTTTATGCTGAACTGCAGCCAAATATGCACTTTTTTTATCCTATGCACACGCAGATTTCTGAAAGTTTCGTTTTCAGCCGCTGCTGCTGTCAAACTACAGGTCTACATGCGGCATAAAGAGAAAACACGGCTCCCAATAAGAAGCAGGCTCCCGTTGTTCGCTTCAAAGAGCCGGATCTAAGAGCCGCTTCGATCGCGACCGACCCATAACTCCAAGCTAGTAAACTATCGCTATTAGCCTTTAGCCGTAAATGCTGCGCACCGCGGTAGTTAATTATATGCATAAATGTGGATCATTCACACGTCTATTCACAGCTCATTTACATATCAATGCAGGTCCAGTAACAAATATACGGCCAATGTAGTCACTTTACAATAGACCAATAGAAAACAGCCTGTTTATGTGCGGGAGCTACAGCAGCTAACCGCTAACAAAACCTAAACTAGCTTCAAAGTCGATGTATTTCCAACACTCACCGCTCACACAGGCTCCTCCTCACATCACAAGTCTGAACTAATAAATGTCCTTTTAATCCAGACTCAAACCGATTGTCCGAAAAAGAAAATAATCTCAGTGTTGCGCACCGCTGCGGGTGTAAACAAACACACACGAGTGAAGTGACGTCACTCTGGTGGTGTGTTCAGGTACAGTACGACACAGACAAATGACTCCGCAGATAAATACTGATGCGGAGCCACATATTTGGACATTTATCTGTCTGTAAATTGGATTAAATGAGAGTCTAAACTTTATAACGAGTGATACGACCCAGCTCGTTTGGGGTGAGGGAAGTAACAAAAATAAAACCAAGATGTAAAATGGAATAAATTAAGTAATGTTTAATTAACAGGAATGTAAACGTAAATTAACAAAACACTAAAAAATATACAGAAAACAACCTAAACTAAGAAACAGAACAACAGAATAAACAGAGTTTTGTGCCAGAAAAGGGGTCACGCAGGCGTACACAAAAACGAGTGGTAAAACTTAGGGACACACACTAAACTAAAACACAAGTTCCAAATTAAACCACATAAGCCCACAAACAGAATAGAGTGACCAAATCAAAAAAGGCACAAAACTGAACTAGACTAACACACAAACACAAAACCAAAATGGCATACTGGCCACCAAGGCCAGCAGCCCCAAACAGGTGCTGGCAATCTCCTTAAATAGGGGGAGGTGGCTGCAGGTGAGGTGGGCGTCGACTTGCCCCACCAATCACAGACCAGGGCACGTGCAGCAGGAATCAAGAGAACTCTGCAGAAATATTACAACTAAGGCCTGGGGCCGTAACAACGAGGTATAACATGCCCACGTGAAATATCGGCCCATATCAGCAAGCATATCGGCCGATAACCGATATGTCTCCAGGTGCCCATATTGGCTGATAATATCGGCCAGCCGATATATCGGTCGGGCTCTAATGTTAATTAGACCTAAACTGACATTTTCACATAATTATTTTCTATTTTTATAGTAGATTACATTTAAACACATTTAGTTCGCTTTGAATGCTTGACTTCTTACCATTAAATTGTGACATTATGATGATTGTTTCATTGATTAATTACATCTCAGAAGGTCAAGTTATGACAAAAAATAAATGACAAAAATTTAATATTTAATTTTAATTTGATTTTGAGGATTCCCTTCTAACCAGACAGTCCACTTTCTAATTCTACAATTGTGTAAATATAACTAAATGTCCATAGGTCAATCTGATGTAACTTGAATATCAAATACTCTCTGCTGAACGTCTGTTTACATTTAAGAGTTGTGTGGCATTGAAATTACAGCTTGTAAATTATTAATTGTGATAAGAACTACATAAATATGAACAACTAATTGAAATTCAGTCCATTGCCTTCATATATTATTTAGCCTGTTGTGTATTGACTTGGGAGTCATGAAGTATTAATGTATGATATGACCTGCAATGGCTTTGGAGTTTTTACTTATGGGTCAAGTTGGCTCAGAATTTAAATAGTAATACACCCAAATGCGGTAGTAGTACAATGAACTGAACACATAAAACAATAAATATAATGTAACTTCTTGTTGACAATCATCCAATATGGATTTTTTTGCACAAATGCGATATCCAATATTTGTCTTGCTGTTGTGGCTGATAAACGATATTTACCGATTGTAAGCTTTTAAAACCCATTGCAAGGACAGCATTTATGATAAATTATAGTGAAGTTTACAAATAAAGTTTTTACACTCCTAAGTCTGTTCAAAAAGACAAATCTGAAACACAAAAAAAATATGAATGACAAGTTGTTTTTTAATCTGAAGCACTAAGGACAGACCTGGAATGACACATGGGGACAAACACAGACTGGAGCAGTGCAGAAAAAATATCAATGCCAAATACTGGCTAAATTCTTAATATGAGACGATCAGTGGAAAAATCCTTAAATAACCTATAAATCATCCCTGCATTTTTTTTTATTTTTTTTTTTTTAGCTTTGACCATCCAAGCTAAGAACCACAGGCTGTAGTAGCAGTAGAATGTGGTTTAGTATCTCCATGTAAGCTGGTCTGTTGAGCCTGGTGGCCTGCTGTGCCCTCTGCTCCTCACTGTTCTTCAGAGCATTCTTCAGATCCTATTTCTCGATAATGATGCAGCAAACCTCCTGTGATGCATAAAGTTTAGAAAAGAGCTCCCTCACTTTTTAGTCTGTGTGGGCTTGGACTTGCCCTGACACAGCTCAAAATCATTCTAAAGCTATTTAGGTTCATTTCTGTCCTGTGAATGTGACTTTTTACTATTAATACCTGCTCAGAAGAGTATCAAGTTTTGATACTAGCTTCAATTAGTATCTGATTTCCGATACTTTTGACAACCCAGTGGTGTTGATCTCTGATTGGTGCCTCATTTGGTGCCTCATTTCTTGAGCCTTGTTGATCTGATTAGTCAGTTGAGTTTGAATACACCTCCTGACTCTGTAGTGCCCCCTGTTGGTGTAGTACTTCTGAGCACAGCTTCCAGGTCTACTCAGAAGTTTACTCTGAGCATTATTTAAAAATAGATAAGTCAGTCAGATCTAATTGTCAGTTTTTGTTGATTTGTCTCTAATGAATGCCATTGTTGATTTTGCCACCACTCTACATTTAGAACTTTTATTTTATTGAAAAAAATATATATACTAATAGTTTTTTATGTGTTACTTGACAGAATTGCCTTACTTTACCTTTTGTGCTAGCATTTCCCTAACTTTCCACTAGATGGCAGTAAATTGTCAAGAATCAAATACGTGACTAGTGGCACAGCACAGTGAAATCTTGAATAAGTTAATCACACAGGTTTCTGTTCATCTTGTTGTAAACATTTCATTTATTTTGCATATCGCATGCTCTCTTTTTAGGGGGTTAAGTTAGTGAACTGCGTGCTATGAAACTCAGATTAATTTATGTCAGATGCCCTCCCTTAAACATATCGTTACATACATGGTGTTGCAAACTTAAGTAATGTCAGCAGATGCTGTCAGTTAAAGCTGAAATATACCGCAAAACATGAAATACGTGTTGCTGTCAAACTCCACATGAACTGAAGAGCCGGTGCGGAGTTGTGAAATGAAAGAATGATCACACGGCTCTGCGCTCAGTTTTAAGGTTTAAATGTTGCATTGTCTGCCTTTGTTGTTCGAGTCTTCAGGCGGTTGCATCACAGTGAAGCCCTGAACTGCAGTTGTGTGGTGGCGCACCAGCCCACATGAGAAACACGGATCTGCACTTGACAAGACAGCGCTGCGCCTTTGTAGTTTCCAAGCAACATTTTAAAATCACTCCTGTTCGGTGCAGCCTCTCGGAACACGTCGTGATTTACAAGATTTTAGCAAGGTGCTTTTACTTGGGAATGGAAGAAAAAGTATGTGTAAGTGAGTGTAATGTGGGATGTCAAGAGAAGTTTTTATTCATTTATTTTTCTAATCTGAATGGTTGCCATGACAGTGCTTGCTATTTTTGGCTCTCCATTTATTTTAAACTAGACAAATGGCTCTCAAACTTTTCACAAGTGTAGTCGCGATAATAACATTTCTAAAGGAATAAGACTTTATTAATATCAATTCCCATACCACAATGAAAATAAAACTCTTTCTTTAGACGATAGAATGTGATCTTTAACATTAAATATTACCATGTGGTGTTCATCATTCTACAACTATTCAGGAAAGGTTAATTTCTTTCCTGTGAATGTTGCTTTTTTAGTATCGATACCTGTTCTAACAAGTGTCTAGTTTCGATACTAGTTTTAGTATTGCCAGTGCCAGATTTAAAAAAAAACAAGATTTGGTGTTCCGAGTACCACCAGATCTAAACCAAGTATGTAACAGGACTATTCCAGGTCTAATCTAGGGATGAACCGGGTCTTAAAGCAGTCTACTTTATTTTCACTTTAGTTCTAAACAAGAAATTATCCAAATAAGAACAAAAAGCAGATACAATGAACTCTAAAGTAGGTAAACCCATATACTAAAAAAACTGTCCAAGGACTAGCACACTTTGGTCACATCCTTTGGTATCAATAAAACAGAAGCTCAGACAAACTGTGAATCCTTATTCAAATTGCAAAGTGAAATAATATATTCATTTGAGTATATGAAACATATTTTTGCAAACTAGTGCTTCTGTCTATTTTTCTTCTTGTCGGACCATGTCATTCAAATGTGAGTGCTATTTTTTGAATGAGGATGACAAAAACCTCTCTTACTCCCCTCTTAACTCTTGTTTCGGTTGTTTTTCAGTTGCTGCAGCTGCGATTTTGCCACCACCAACATGAACAGTCTGAAGAGCCACATGAGGAGGCACCCACAGGAGCACCAGGCCGTGCAGCTGCTGGAGCAGTACAGGTGAGCCTTTTAGGAGAGGGATTTCAGCTACGGCAAGAATCACAACAAACCCAGTCGAGCCATGTATTTCACTATGATGAATTTGGACTGTTTCCATAGCAGTTACCAATTCAAAACAGACTATTCTTTCCTTTGAAATGGGGCAGAGAGATTATGGACACAATTAAATCACAAATGCTGCCATTTTTTTGAGTCCCACAATTTTCTCCACAAACAACAAAATAACCTTAAAATAGTTTTGTTCTGCATAAAAACGGCTAACCCTGTAGTTTAGATCTGTACAAACATGTTATTCTTGTATTAGTTTGTCATTTAATGTTTTGATCTTTTTGTCAGTTCTTCTAGACAAGTTGGAAATGGAAACTTTGAACAGAATCCATTACTCAAAAATAAAATGCAAATCTAATTGCAATTGCAATGCTTGTCAGAAAAAATCACAATTAAAACCCTATTTTGAAATGGACAGTTAAATATGGTCAGGCTGCAGTGGTTGTTTGTTAATGTTGCATGTTAATGTGAAGTAATACTTTCACTGTGTAGAATCAGGTCAGGACACACTCTTGGCTAAGTATTGTCTGAAGGATGTCTAACCTTATACTTCGCACAGTGCGCCGCCAGCTATTAGGCAGTTCTTGCTTCATCCCTCAGTAATTACTGCTTTTATCTGACACATGTAGTCTACTGTTATAAATTGTAAGTGCATATAATTGTCTCAGACAGCTTTCTAAAAATGTTCTTTCAGGATAAAATCATAGAAAGTCTGTTTTTTTTTTTTTTACCTGAACTTCTAAGTATAAATAATTGTTAGCAGTAAGCACTAACATTAACTTACTCAGCTATAACCAAGAAACAGGGCGGCAATATAAACGCAACTGAATGGAAATTGCAGTTTGAATGTGTTCAATCAGCAAATTATTTAAGTCTTTTGTAAACAATTATGATCAAAAAACTGGTAACCCTGTAGTTAAAAACATTTCTGAAATACAGGTGGGGATTGTTTTAAATGATCAGTTCATGCTCAAGTCTTCTTAAATGTTCATGTGTCTGGACATGTTTGCAATGTGCACTTTGAACAGAGTCCAACTATTAAAATATAAATCACAGATCTAATGTTTGTGTCATATTTTACCTAAATTGCTCAGTAGTTTTCAGTATTTGCCCTTTTATAACAAAAATAAAAAAAACAGAACAAAAATGGTGTAAACTTGCATAGTAATACCTTGGCTCTACTGCTCATAATCCATTTGTGAAACAGCAGTACCTCAAATTCATTACCTCCCTAGCGGCTCAGTCGATTTATTTTAATTCACCGTATCTGCTATGTGCCTGACCTGCTGGACTTCCTGTTGAGTTTTACATCAGAAACGCCATAGCAACTGCCCAGCTCCCCATTTGACGTTCCACCATTCTCCTCCAGTTTTCCATAATTATTTTAACTCTGACAAATGACTTTCCGCACCGGGCTGTAAGTCCCTTTTCCCCTCCCTTGTCTGCGCCCTCCTCTTAAGCTTTAGTCACCCCAGCGGCGCTTAAAGTCCGGATGATTCCTCTTGATAGAAAGTAAGTTGAGGATTAGTGGAACTTGAGCACGCATATTAAATCAAACCGAATGCTGATCCGCTGTTACTTACTCAGTCTCTCTCCCCTCTTTTGGCTTCTGTTAAATCTTTTTTGTGGGTATTCCCAGGTGCTCGCTGTGTGGCTATGTGTGCAGCCACCCCCCTTCACTCAAATCCCACATGTGGAAGCACGCCGGGGACCAGAACTACAACTACGAGCAAGTGAATAGAGCCATTAACGAGGCCATCTCCCAAAGCAGCCGGTGAGTGCGGAATAATGGGACTGCCATGTTAAATTGGAAATGGGTGTACAAGAAGGTGTGTGTATGTGAAAGAGAAAGCTGGCATTGGGTTTTAGAGTGTCAAGGTTTCAATTGAATAGTCTACACAACAAAGTCACAAATCACTGGGGCTGCAGCTGGATAATCATGAATACTAAAATAATTGTAATTGTATGTTGTTAATCATAATTGTAATCTGAACTAAACAGAAACAAAAAACACCAAAACACTTTTAATACAAATACAGCTGCATTGTTATATCACATATTTACTAAATCAGCAGTTGCAGCCCTATATGTCACTTATATTTCTATTACTTTGACGATGTGAAATTGGAATGCACCCTGAGATGTACCATTGTGATTTTGAGGAGGTTTCAGTATATTAATTCCATTGGTCTGCTTTTTCATTATACAACCTAACATTATTTATTTTGGGGGTTCACCAAAGCAAATCTACTTTTAAATATGATATCTATTTGGTATAGAATTTGAATTTTGCTATATACTGTTTCAACTCTGTGTTGCACAGTGTAATGAGTTGTGATGAGTTTCTGGAGGATACACTAACAGTATAATCTTGTACATGTGTAGGATTTGTAGTGAATTATATAGTAGTATTTTTATTCCAGGAGCAAATAAACATAGAATTAGTTCAGTTTCTAAGTTTAAAATTGAAGACAGAATGGATCTTTACCAAAAAGTGTAAACATGTTTATACAGAATAGACAAGCAGTATCTAGACTAGAGCCAAGATATTAGCTCAAGTTTACACTGTTTGTAGCCTCCCTCTGGTCGAATTAGTATTACTCAGTATTTTAGTATGCATTCTAACTACTGCATTTTTTGGACTATAAGTCACACTGTTCATATTATTAATGGTTATTCAGATAACTATAGCATAAACAACAACTCTCCTTCTCACTCCAAATCACTAAATTCTATAGAATTCTTCACCCCCGGTGCCACTTCTGACCAACTCTGCAACCTCCGGAGGTAAACAGAGCACCACTTCCTCTTCTGTGTAGCTGTCGTCAGACTCAGCATCAGTTCCAGTTAGAATTATTCTGGCCTTTCTGAATCCCGACAGGATGGTTTTGTCTTTATAAGTTAGTTTAAATTTTTTAGTTTCAGTGGTACAGAAGTAATTGTGACATGATAGCAGCACGACAGCGGTTCTTTCTGCAGGAGACATGCACATTAGAGTGCCAAGTGACAGTGGTACAGAAGTAATAGTAGTAGCAGATACTGGCACACAAGCCTAGAGCGCCCTCTCGTGGCTGTCAGTGTGAACATTTTAATATATAAGTCGCACCAGAGTATAAGTCGCAGGACCATTCAAACCATGGAAAAAAGTACTACTTATAGTCTCTAAAATATGGTATTTAAAAGATGAAGAAGCAATACACCTGGATTAAAAAAATTTAAAAGTTGCATCAGTCAAAAAATTATGTGACTGAAGGAATAATGCCAATAAAACTCCCTTTTTCTCCACAACAGTGCTCCCCAGAAGTCGTCAGCAGTGCAGGAGTCCGCTACCGACCGGGCCACATCAGTTTCTATGGACAAAGCAAAGAGCCCAGTGGAACAAGTCTGTACCCCATCTACTGCTCTGTCCCTCTCCATGGACCTCTCCACCGCCCCCGCAGACCAGTCCCAGGCAGCCCCCGAACCCCTCAGCCCACAGGGTAAAGAGCCCCAGCAGCCCCACGCCACAGAATACTGCCTCCTGCTCTTCTGCTGCTGCATCTGCGGCTTCGAGTCCACCAGCAAAGAGCGCCTGCTGGAGCACATGAAGGAGCACGAGGGAGATCTCATCAGCATCATCCTCAACAAGGACCAACAGTTGGCCGTACCTCACAGCAGCCTCCAGATCGCAGAGTGACCTCCTCCCAACACTACGGCGCTTTATAGTCCCTTTACACCGCTATGCCTGCCCAACCCCTCAAATGTTCCCCTTAGCTCAGGACGGCCGCGGTGGGCAGCACGGTGTTGGCCATTTCACGGGTGGTTAGGCTGTCAAGCTACTGCTCTCCGGGTCAGTCCTCGTGTTGTCATTTCAGACGATAATAGTCGGAAAATACCCAAGAAAATAACACACTGACTGAAAAGGTGTTGAGTAAAATGATTCCTACTTGAGGAATGAATCAAATGCCTGAGAACATTTTCATATACAGCATTTATTTTGTGATTTCAATAATGTTATGTTTAAGGGGCTACATTTTAATATTTTTAAGGAGGCATAGAAAACTCCTTCATCTGGACTCCATGTTAGTTAACACTCACATTTCCATACACGTGCAGGTTGTCTAGTCAACTTTCAAAATTCAGTTGTATACAATAAACTAGGTCTGGTTCATTTGGGTTTGAAATTGTGTTGCACACCAAATGTATGATAATTGGATTGGCATAACTAGCAATTAATATTAGGTTGACCGTAATTAGGGCTGCGCAATATGAAAAAAACTAAAAAATGCTGGATATGTAAATTTACTATCACGCGCATAGTAAGTTCAGTTTAAATAATAATTAAAATATTGATTAAAAAGTTCATAAACTAAATCATGTAAACAGTAAAATCAATTTAGTGAGAAAAAATTATCATAAATAAAACGTGACATTTTAAGATTAAATTTTTCTTGTGAATGTTCCATAAATCTAACGCAATATTAAGAATTTTTGAGACTGACTTCATGCACAAACTAATCAGTGAAATTTATCAAACTGAAAAAAACAAAAAAAAATAAAATAAGAATAAATGCACTATGCGAATACAAAAATGTGCATTATCAGTTAAGGGACAATGCCAAGTAAATATTCTCCCAAGTTTTTATTTATAGGGATGCACTGATACCTCACCACCCTTTTCTTTGGTGCAGATTCTTATTTTTTTTTAACCAGAATCCACAGCATGACCCAAGGCAGCTCTTTATTGGTAGTATATTTAATTAGCCCGGCATTGCACAGACCCTGGCCTTGTTTTGGCGGTACACGCAGGCTCACTCATACCCACAGGCATGTATCGCAGCTTGAAATATTTATCCATTTTATTTTTTTATGCATGTTATGTTCCGTTATGCCAAGTTTTAAGACGGTTATTATATTTAGCATTTCTTTGTTAGATTGTCGGTTTTTGTAACAATAGTATCTTATGTGTCATAGGAGCAGAGTGAAAGAGAATGAGAGTTTTTTTGTCATTGCATTTGACACTAGCGTTTAAGTGTATTGCTTGAGGAACGGTTTAAAAGGGACGTTTACATAGAAAGTCAATACAGGCAGTAGGTTTTGAATGTGCCTAGGTAACAAAATGCTAGTTTGTGTCGGTTATTGTGGTGCTAGGCTAAGGCTTCAAGTCTGTAGATTTTGTGTCATAGGTTTTGTTTTGTATATATTATGTTTTTTTTTCTTTTCTTTTTTTCCAGATATATTTTTCAAAACATGTTCAAAGCAGCTTGTACAAAAAACTTAAAAATAACCAAACTACCCAATAAGTTTACCTTCCATTGTTGAAAGGGCGGCTAGACAGTAGACAGTAATGTGATTACTGCAGTTCTGATATGAAAACCCAACTCAGCACTATGTAACAGCGCAAGGAACTCGGATCAATTTGGGCCCCATGTTTACCGTGATGAATTGCCTTTTTTATGGACAATGGCAGCAACGTGATGTGACGACGGTAAAATGTCGATGATGCTCGTGCTGACCGTGCGCAGAAATCTCCAAAAGAAAAAAAAGAAAAAGCGGGAGAAAGTGGCTATTGGCACAAACCAAACTTGCAACTTTGTGGCACAAGAGATTCAGGCACTTTTCAATAACGCTGTGGAAAAGTGAATGTAGTTTAAATACGCATCATTTGTTGGAACTGTTGAAGTATTTGCACATGTGGTGATTGTGGGGGTCGGTAGAATGCTTCCCCATTGCCCCTTGCATTCTGTTTTTATTCAGAAGTCACATTCAGAATCAAAAATAATGCAGAAATGATGGCTAAAAAAGTAAATAAATAAATAATAATAATAATGTATAAGAAATGTAAGAAAAATGTCTGGAGTATATTCCAGTCTAGGGCAGAACAATTGCAATTTATGCTGTTGCCGATTCGTTTTTGACTTTTGACACTTTTCCACATTAGTAAAGAAAATTCAATTCTGTCAGCTGGACAAAAGTTTTGAGATACATTTCGCAACTCATCCAAGTTGCGTCTTTGGTTCCTTTAGTAACATTTTCCACAATGTTATAACTTGACATGTGCCTATCATCCAAGCACTTTTAGCTAGAGCTGTAGAATAAACCGTGCCATTCATACCAACATCATGTTCCCTATGTATCTTACAGCCTTATTAAAGCTAGTCACTTTTAATATGCCACACTGATTTTTGATATCTTTTAACACACAATTTTAACACGCTTTAGCTTTACACAGCACCATCCAGCCACTTCATCAGTATGCCATTCATTACTGTTGCACCGAGTGGATGTGGAAATTGAGATAAAATAGAAAATCCATTATTCATGCCTTCTTGCCTTACCTTCCACCTGACATTGTGTGCGTGCATAGAGCAGGTTTGCGTACCACATAATTAAAGTTCTAATTGACCTGCTGTTGCCCCAACGTCGCATTATCATAGAACATAGTTATTGGCTGTAGATTTGTATGTAGATTTTTTTCTCTTAAATTAGCAAAAATGAGCTAGAATTGATTTAAAAAAGAGTGAACTTGTGCGCTTAATACAACGTAAGCGTAGACTATTAAAGGTGCACTATGTAACTTTTTGGATAGGGGTCCAAAGGAGTCACCTGCTTGTTGCTATGGATATGTCATTGCTCTGCCTAGAATGTTCCACAATATGACATTAAACAGCTCTACATTTCAGACAAAGCAACAATATCTCCATGAAGAAAAGCATTTAATGGACCCTCCACTAGAAAAGTTACAGAATGCACCTAAGAATTCAAGTAATTTGTGTCGGATACATTGTTCTTTGGTAAGGTTTTGGCGGTTGGTTTTGACCAGTTTTTCACAATTTGTCAGATGTTGGTATCAGATTGTGACGTTATATAATCAGTGATCAATAATGCATTATAAGACTCAAACATTTCAACTTCTCTTATCAATAATTTCATATAAGGAGATAATAATACCTCTTTAAAGGTGCATTGTGCAACTTTTCTGGTGTCGGGTCAGTTACCTGCTTGTTTCTATGGACATGTAACTGGTTGGAATGTTCCACAGTGTGACATTAAACAGCTTTACCTTACATTTATTCATTTATAAGTGGTTTTATTGCTCAAAAATACAGAGAAAATCAGGCATTCTGACTGTGAGCGGGGTCGCCTCTCCACAGATCTGACCTGTAAGATCCTTGAAGATGGAAAGGTTGAATACCATATGGTGAAACATTCCAGACAAAGCAATGACATCTCCTTGGAGAAAAGTGTTTGACAGGACCCTCCAATAGAAAGTTTCACAACGCACCTTTAAGCAAAACACTGCAACTGTAGTCAACTTCTCATAACCTCTAGTTAGGAATAAGTTTAGATTTCATGATTTTTTTTTTTTACATTATATAAACCTCCAAGTTCTTAAATGTATTTAATAGAAATACATGAGTGCACACATTTCCAGGCTGACAAGTGTACGGTTGGTGCAAAAAGAATAGTCATTTTAACCATGCTGAAAGCTGCTGGTTGTAGTTGTTTTCGTGCCTTGAGTTGTTGAACATCTGTGTTGTTTTGAGCTAGACTGTTTTGCCAAATGTCTGTCAAATTCACTTGTAACTTTTTGTATTCAAATCTGCTGAATTGTAGAGCAGGGCTTGCACAAATGAAAAGTTCTCAAGTTTTTTCAGATAGTTGCTTTTGCTATTTTTGTTGACCTTTTAGCAGAATGTGTGTTTTAAAGGGCCCATGTTACGCTTTTTTCTGATCTATTTTAATGGTGTTTCCTCATCAAAAACATTCCTGGAGTAGTTTTGTTTCACTTGACAAATGTTAAGCACACAATCCCTGCATATTTCGGCTGAGCTCTCGAACAGAAAACACTGTTCCACCTTGTGATGTCATGTGGTAATACAGGAAGCACTCCACTCTGGTTTTAAACTCCATACACCTTCACTGGAATCATTTGGATAATTTCAACTGCCGAAATCTTTTGACCAAATCATTAACAGTTACTTGAAATCTACTACTTCATGACATCACTAGGTGGAACAGAGCATTTGAAGGCTTACTGAAATGTGTGAATGAAACAAAACACAGCTCGGTATGTGTTGGATGAGGTAACAACATTATAACATGGCTTAAAGCTCACAAGAGTCTTTTTTGCGTAATATAGGACTTTTAAATATAGTCGTACCTAACAAAAATGTACTCCTTTTTCTAATTTGCATAATCCAGGGTAAGGGTAAGTTTCTACTGTTGGTAACTTAAACATGTAAATAATTGTAGAACGCTAAAACTGACTTTTTAAAGATGCAGTATATATTTTTACTGATCTTGAATGACAAGCGAAACTTTTTCGAGGGAACCGATGGTGTGCACGGTTTAAATGAGCGAACCGTGCAGATTCAAACCAAAGGCCCGGGGAGGACTGGTATTTTTGCTCAGATTCACTTTTGTAATCGAGGTTGAAACTGCCTCTTAAAGGGCGCCTTCACATTCGCTTGAGTTATTTATTGTTAGAACATCTTAGGCAGTATTATGTATCTACTTTGTCACTGTATTTTTGGTAATAAAGACTGAACAAATAATCAAAAGGTTCTGCTTGTGTGAATACTGGTTTACATTCCACATTTCTTATACACAACAATAATTATGGCCATCAATTTTGTGAGCTATTTATTTTAGCGTGCAAAAGTGGAATTGTAGATAGGTGTGCCTTCCAACCAGATGGTCACAGGATCTGATTTCCATACACTGCGCCTTAGTTGTCCTCTCCAGTTGCAGTAATGTTGTGACAGAGAGGGCATCTATCAAAAACATCTGCCAAGTCACATGAGTAATTGTCAACACTAGTCATTTTTTGTGGTTTACATTTTGATTAAAGAGGTCATATTAGACTATTTTCTGATCTGGTATAATCTTGTTTCCTCATCACAAACATCCTGGAGTTGTGTTTTGTTTCATTCACACATGTTCAACACACAGATCCTGCATATTTAGGCCAAGTTCTTCTCCCAAACAGAAAACACTGTTCCACCTTATGATGTCATGGTAATACAGGAAATGCTTCCCTATGTTTAAACTCCATACACGTTCACTATAATCACCCTGCGCTCAATTATCTTCTGACTCCCAGTTGGACCTCGGATTTGAGGCGTACCTCGACCTTGAAGCGTATTATTATGTTTCACGTGTTGGACACAGAGAGTAGTGTGTGGCCTCACCACAACACCGACTACCAGACGCACAGGCAGTGATACGGACACAGTAAGGTATTGCAGTGATATGAGTGACTGAAATTGTCATTTAAACCACCAAATACATGAAAACACTTCATATTTACACCTCACAGTGGGCGGAGCTGTCTTGGCTTCTGACACGGAATCTTTGTTCGGTCTACTTTTTCTGCCACCAAGTTCCAAGTTGTGCTGTCCCAGGAAAAGATGCGTGTCACTAGGCAACTTCCTCAGAAAATGGACTCGGAAGGATAATCGGATGCAGGGTCATTTGGATAATTTCAGCAGAGGAATTGCCAAACGTAACTGTACAAATTGCAATAGGTAGCTGTTCATTTGAAAACCACTACATGACATCACCGGGTGAAACAGAGCATTTTGAGATTTGGACTTTTAGACAGTTTAATAATAAAGAGTTACTCATACATGTGTGAACAAAACAAAACACAACTCCAGGTCTGTTTTTGATGAGGTAACAACATTCTAACATGGGTTAAAACTCACAAGAGTCAATTTTGCATTATATAGGACCTTTACGTTAAAGTGAATACCTTTCATTCCTCTATTTGGCCCGAGCCAGTGACAGAGTAATTGACTAGGGATATTCTTCACCGGTTTCCTCTTCTCTTTATTATTTTTCCTTGCAAATGATGATGATTTTGAGGCCCTAAATGTCAAAGAAAAGTCTCCAAACCAGGTATGGGAAATATTTGATAAAATGGGTATCGCAACAATGCCCAAAGTGACCTGATTCAACAGCGCCACCTAGAGGTGTACTCCCAAGTGGGGTTAAGCAAAGTTTGGCAGTGATAGAGAAGAATAAGACAAGCCAAAAGACTCCTCTCAAAAATCCTTACACCCACATGCTTAGATCGATCGTGCTGAAATCTGAAACACTAATGCGTGATCTCAGCCTTAATATAATACGCTACAAAGCAAATGACAAATGTACTCCATAGCGCCCCATAGCATACAAATGCAAATGAAACATTAAAAGTAAAAGCATTTTTTCCCAGATTTTTTTTTTACATATATTATTATTATTTCTATTTTCACTTTACCAAATAATAAAACTCAAGTGACTGTAGCTGTGGCTGCATGTGAATTCAAGTTTTGACATGTTAAACAATAAACATGAATAACTCCACAGACATTTAAGAGAACAACATAATTTTAAAATAATTTTTGTTTTATTTTTTCATAATGCAAAGGGTAAAGTTTCGAGAGTCTTTGCAGGCCTCTGGATCCGACCTGTTTGTGTTTCTCATCTCAGCGATTATATTGCCCTGTGTTTTAAGTTGTTCCTTCATTTTTTCAAGGATTTTACTGGTGCTGGCTAGCTCTGGTCTGAGGTGGATTTTTCTCTCACTAAACTGTTATACAGACATTGGATCTCCTTGTACGCATTCATTTGGGTCTCCAGCTCTTTGTCTTTCTTCTGGAGAGAAGCTTTTGAGTTTTTGCATCTCCAAATCATCAGTCTTATCCCTGACTTTTTTGAGTTTGCAAGTTCTTGGTTCAGCTGCACATTTTCCTGTGCTGTAGAGTTGTACAGGTGCATTAATCTGGTCTTGTATTTGCTTGTTTTTCTTCTGGAAAGAATCATTTAGTTATTTCAACTCCAAGTCTTTTTCTTGGTCAGTTCTCTCCAGAGATCTAACCTTGTGGTTCTAAGAATTTGGACCTGATCTGCAAGTTTGGCCCTTGTCTGCTCCAACTCTTCACGAAGTCCCTTGACCAGAGTGCTCTCCTCCAGGGGTGGAAGTACCTGGACCAGACTTCTGTCCTCTGGGTTTGAGGGCTCCTGGGTGTTGGTAGACACCAGTTGGGTCTCCTATGGCTCTTGACCGCTCCCTGTTAGTGTGGGGAAGAGAAAAGCATCCAGATCGTAGTCCCCATTGTAGAGGTGGGCGCCATCCTCTGAAGTGTAGAGGTACAGTACCAGGACTTTGTTGAGAAAGATGTAGAGCTATTCCTGTTTGTGTGTGATTTCACAAGTGTGCTGAGAAACCAAACAAAAGTTGTGTGGAATGACCTGCAAATTAGAAAGTAACTATTCAAAACAAAACATATCATACCATAACACTATACTGGGGCAGTCCTAAGCATGGGCCGACCGGGCAGCCACCCGGAGCTTTAGAGGGTTTTAGAAACTTTATGGTAACACCAACACTAATGTACTCAATTACACCTAAAATGTAGTAACCAAAATAGTACAAGTTGCAGTACCTCTACTTCAAATTCACACTCTGTCACTGTGTTACTACACTCTTTACAACTATTCTTCCTCATTCAGTCACTATTTGCACGCCTGCTGTAGCTTACTACTTTTAAAAAAGTGAATAAGACTAGTTTCTTTTCATTTTCAAAAGTGTTTAGTTGAACTCACTGGCCTGCCTATTATGCGCTGCTTTATACATGATTCAAAACAAGAAAGTTAATTGGAAATCTTGTATTCACCTTTACTTGTATTCACACCATTCTTATGTTTCGCTGCAAATCAAGGTCAACCATTTTCAAATAATCACGGACCTTCTTATTTCAATAATCTTTTAAATTTTTTCCCCGTTGTATCTATCATTGTTTTACTCTTTTTTTCTCTTTAGTACAGCTATTGAACTCCAGTCTATTCGACTCTCCAACAGGGTCAGTCTTTCTGTCTAAACCCTTTTTAAAGTTCAGCCATGAAAAGTCCGGATCACTGCAAAGTAATCAAATAAGAAGGGGAGAGAAAGCAGGTTAAATAAAGGGCACCGAGTGAATCCAAGTGGCTTTCAGGGACAGTCTGTGCAAAGCAGTTCTCAAGCCCTGGTTTCGTAACACTTTAGCTATTGCCATGGTGAGGAAGAGGTATTTTTCAACACTCAACCAAACAAGAGACATGTTATCTTAAAAGGAACACCTGCAGTCTGCACTTTATGAAAAATGGCAAGAAAAAAGGAGACATTTCAGGATTTGCTTCTACTAAAATGCAGCTAAAGACTGTTTTATTTTCCTGTAGCCTGCCACTTGCTATCGTTCTGATAATCTCCGGACTGGCTGTGTCTTTTCAAGCTGTGAGGTTGTCACTTTTAGGTTTGGCTGTAAAAATAAAAAAAAAATGAAAAAAAAATGTTGCTATTTGTTGATAACTGAAAATTCTAGACTTGGTTTTACACTATTCAACATGTCTTGTATTAGCTAGAGACTATAAGGACTACTTTTTGACTACAATTTAGAGACTACAGTTTATAATGACGACCTTTTGACTGCAATTTAGAGACTACAATTTACAAGGACTACTTTTTGCAACTTTCTGTGTGTGTTAAAAAAAAAAAAGATCTATATACCTAATTAAATAAAGTTGACCTACTTTTGTACACTAAATAAGACATTGATCAGAAACAACAAACATAGTAACCCTAATACTAAATACAGTTTGATTATTTGAAGTTATTGAAAGGTAAAGTCTTCAACCTGTAAAGTCTTCAACCTGTTTCCTTTACAAAATTAAAATATTACAAATTATTATTCAATTATTATTAAATTATAAAAAAAATGCTAAAAAATTTTAAAGTTTGTGAAGAATTCAGTATAGCGCCATGGCAAGCCTTAGACTGGGTACTATTAGATGCACATGAAACAAAGAAACATTATTAATTTAATAGTAAACAAAGTTAACAGTGGCAAGGCAACTCATAAAGTTAAACATTAAAATAAAAAAATAAAAAATACATACATACATACATAAATTAGAGAGAAGAGTGTGGAATGAAAACCTTTCAGTCATATGGAGCTAAACAGAACAGTTTTGAGTCTGGATTTAAACAGCGTCAAAGTAGAGGTCTGTCTGACAACCTCAGGAAGACTTCCAGGCTTTAGCTGCGTGAACCTGAAACGCTGACTCCTCGTGTTGAGTCCTGTCTCTCGGCACCAGCAGGAGGCCGGTCCCTGAAGTCCTCAGAGTGTGAGATGGTTCATGTGGCACTAACATCATCACAGATGTACTTTGGTGCTCGGCCATCGAGAAACTTACACAAGTAGAGCCGCTTTAAAGTCTATTCTCTGAGCCACAGGAAGCCAATGCAGAGACCTGAGCACAGGACTTATGTGCTTGTACGTTCTAGTTCGAATCAGGACCCGAGCTGCAACATTCTGGATGTACTGCAGTGTCTTACAGCTCGTTTGGAGAGGCCAGTGAGCAGGCAATTATAGTAGTCTAACCTATTGGAGGCAAACACATAGATAAGTCTCTCCAAGTCTGCTTTAGACAGTATACTAGTGGTTATAGGCATTTAAATAATCACATTTTAATTATTCAGTACAATCCATATAAATCAGAAATCCTTTGGTGAGTACTAGGGGGTGGAGAGTTACTGATGAAGTTGAAAAAGCGCTATATAAAAATGAGACCATATGTGTGGCTCCTGAGCAACAGTTTGCGCATAATTGGACCACTATGTTGAGCATGCAAGACTCTAGGTCCTAGGTTCTGTACTGATGGTTAATAAACTTGGAATAAACTGGTAGACTCAAATTCTGCATAGCTACTTCAATGTATTCTACTTACCCTGCTTAAGGCTTCGCTGCTCAGACCGCTGACATGGCGTAACAATGATGAATGTTGGTCTACATACTGTCTGTCCAATTCAATAATTCGTACATTGAGTTGGAAAATATCAAGAACTTTTTATTTTCAATGTGAAACATTAATAAATAAAGTGGGCGACAGGTCAGTTGGAGCGTTTCTCCACTGATCCAAAGTTTGGCGGTTCGAATCCTGCTCTCGACATAAACATAATTGGGTGAGAGGTTAAATCCAATGACCCACAGGTTGGCAGTGTGATTCCAGCTCCCACAGATAAATGCTGTTGTTGTGTCCTTGGGCAAGACACTTAACCTATCTTGCCCCCAGTGTCTGCAAACAATGGTGTGTGAATGTGTATATGAATGAGTAGTTACTTCTTGTAAAGCGCTTAGAGTGCCTTGAACATGGAAAAGTGCTATATATAAACATGACCATTTACCGTAAAGTATACAAAGCTAAAATAAATAAATACATAAATAAAAGTGTTGTGGTAAATGTAAGTTTATTTATCTTGATTTTTCAGTGCTTATTTCTATACGAGAAAACTCATCACGTCCAGGGCCGCAGCCATTTTGGTAGGCAGCCATTTTGGTAGGCAAAAAGCATCATCAACAGTCAACATCAACATCGTCAACAGTTATCCGCATACAACATCAACAATCATCATACAGCAGTACAACATACAACATCAACATCGTCAACAGTTATCGACGAGTTTTAACTTTTCAAACAAACATTTTTGATCCTCAACATTCAGTGACTTAGAGTAAGATGATGAAGTCATGTCATAACAATTAAATGCAAAACCTACTTCAAAATAAGACGAGTTACCTCATGACAGATATACGCAACGCAAGTGTCAACACAAACAAGTGGCCCCACTGACTTTTTGCCTACCAGTCATTGCGCCGGATGTAAACAAAAACAATGTTTTCTCATATTATCTTGCTGTTCTTGAATGGTGCTTTGCAAAAGTGGAATTTCCCCCATTGTGGAACAAATTAAGCTTTTCTTGTGTTAAATTTAAAAATATATATGATTTACGAGTCATTATTTATTTATATGAATTACAGTAGTTGCCCCACAATTCCTCATTTCCTCTTTCATAATAAAAGTACGAGCTCTTATTCTGAAAGGAGTCTGGCGCGTGTTCCGGTTCAGTTGTCGTCTGCGCGGCGGCGGCGTGCAGCAGCCACAGAGCGATCCCCCAGCCCGCAAGAGGAAAAATGAGAGGAGAAATATGATCCATCTGTCCGGATAGAGCCGTGACACAGACAGGAGAGACAGAGGGACAGAGAGACAGAGGGACAGAGGGCGGGGAGGCTGGACTGTCCTCCCAGCGGCCGGAGGAGGGTGAGGCTACGCGAAGCACCGCATATGTAGCTCCATTGTTTCTGCTGACAAGATAGTGAGATAACTGGATCCATCCTTCCTTCCTTCCACGCTGTGTTTTGCAAAAATGTCCATACGTGTGCGTTGGTTTTATACATAAGAACGGTTCATTTGTTTAATCTGTACAACACACAAAAATCGCCTTCTAGATGTCTCAAATTATACAAATCACGTAGGGAGTCCCTCTTCTTCCCAGAGTGGGGATTTGTGGTCTGGTGGTTAGATGAGGGTCATGGTGATTGATGATTCGCGTGATTTGGAGAAAGACGTGATTACAAACAACAGGCCACGTCCAATAGTCTTTGTTTACATATTTAAATGGAGTGCTGTAAGGGTTGACTCATGTGTTGTGGGGCTAGATTGAAAATGGGGGATTGCACACACAGTGGTATCAAACAATTTGGAATGTAGGCCTATCTAGTAAATGCATATTCAACCTTTTTTTTTTTTTTTTTTTACAATAATGATCAAGTCCATCATTATATAAAGGAGCACTGTGTAACTTTTCTAATATGGTGCTTGTTGCCATGGAGTTACATTAATGCTTGCCATGTTGTAATCTTCAGCAACATGGCATTAAACTTCAATTATTGATGAACCTATTTCTCACAAATACCTTGGAAATATGCATCATTACTGTGTGCAGCCATCAGCACAGCCAAACAAAATAAAGCTTCATTTGGAAATACTAATAGTACTTTATATAACCCGTGCATGCATACAGTGATGTACAGATGGTGCTTATATGTTTACTGTATGACATGTTCTCGTTCAGGTCAGTAGCAGTGTTTCACCATGAGTGCCCTGCGCCAGAGGAAGGGCTCCAAGGGGAAGGAGGCACCTGTGAGCCCCGATCTGCACCCACAACATCCCAACTGCTGCTCCGAACACCCACAGAGGATATGGCATGGTGAGTGGGTTTTTTCCATTTGCATACACACTCTTCCTTCATCACTCTAGATATGATGGAAAACAGATCAGAAGTAGGGGGCTGCTCTATCGATATATCGCCAAGAGTATTTTTTGGTATATTTTACTCAGTTATTTTGTTGCAGTGCTTCAGGTTTGTTGCTTGTTTAGTGGAAGGAAACTTTTTTATGCAACACATTTGACATACTTTCTGTTTTGATGATTAAAATGGGTGTGTCATATTAACTTTGCACAAGAAGTGGTTTAACAAAGTATTACAGCCATGATTTAGCCATTAGTTTATTGACCCATATAGAATTGATTTGAAATATATCGTATCAAATTGAAAGTGCACTGTATCGAGATATGTATCGTATCGTGGCCTGTGTATCGAATCAGCAACTTCTTAATGATACCCAGCCCTAATCAGAAGTGCTATGGTATCAGAAATAATATAGTTAATTTTGTATTAGTAAATAAATAAAAAAATAATATATGATGATACTGAAACTATTGGCTTTGAAAACACCAAGCCTTTTCAGATGCAGTATAGAATCAGCATGAAACCTATTTCATCCAATTACTTTTTTTTTAGAAGATGTGGGGTAATGTGTTTGTAGACATTGTCATTAAAAATGTCCTGGAATATTCCTAGAATTATTTTAAGCAAAGTGTTGGAATCCCAGTAGAAATCAATGTCATGATACTAGTAATGTTAAAATCATCAGTCAAAAACTTGATAATTTGTCCTAATTGTTTACAGTGAATGAAAAAAAAGTGCTGCATAATCAGTGTTTACACTTCTTCTTTCATCATATCACTATAAATTGTAAAATTGAAACGTAACTTAACATCAGCCCTTCTCTCAACTATAATTTAAAGAAAAATGTTTTGTTTATGTTATAAAATGAGTGTAATAATGTTTTCTGTTGGTTAACTTTGCTCAGGTGACTGGTCGTGGGGATCAATAATATGGATGTCAGTTGGCTGGTCTGTGTCGGTCGGCCTTGGGCTGTTGTGCTGTATCTATGTGGCAACACTGCACGAGAATGACCTGTGGTTCTCCAATATCAAGGTAAATGTTATCAAGGGCAGGAGGAGTTATTTTACACTTTTATGTGCTGTAAGTCAACGCTCAAATATTTCAGTTAGGATATTTGGTAACACAGAACCTCATATTAATAGCTGGCTAATAGTAAAATACATAATACGTACGTATTTATAAAGTACTGTCAGTGCATTTTTTATTTTTTTTTTGTCTAAGGCTGCATTTTGTAAGTACACAGCCATTAAATATTTTCTTCCTCTTGAAGTGGTGGGGATTGTGATCGTAAAAAGCATCAATAATTGTTTGATAAAAAATAGCTAAGTAACAGCTAATTGGCATACCAATTAACACTTATTAAGCCAATGATGTTCATTTTGTCTTCTTATGTACTTTAACTTCTTAGGTTCTTTTTAAAGACAATGCAGTAAAGTGTATTTACCTTGTTGACATGTTTCGGCTGCTAGCTGCAAGCTATCATCAGAACTGTCACCGGTGTTGGTGGTGACGTGTCGTATATCGGTTGTTGTTACTTCCTCTAGGCGTGGTCATCCTGATGGACCTGGCAGGTCGCTCAGACTGACCACGCCTGGTGTCGCCCGGTGTTCTTTGGAGGAGGGTGTCCCAGGTGTGTGAAAGGAGGAACGCTCTGTCATCACGGTTAATGCTGTCCGTGCCTCGTTTCCTGATTTCAATGGCCTCCTTGATCCAGCGTTTGAACTTGTTGTTTTCCGATCCAATCAAGATGGATCAACCGTGATGACAGAGCGTTCCTCCTTTCACACACCTGGGACACCCTCCTCCAAAGAACACCGGGCGACACTAGGCGTGGTCAGTCTGAGTGACCTGCCAGGTCCATCAGGATGACCACGCCTACAGGAAGTAACAATAACTGATATACGACACGTCACCACCAACACCGGTGACAGTTCTGATGATGGCTTGCAGCTAGCAGCCGAAACATGTCAACAAGGTAAATACACTTTACTGCATTGTCTTTAAAAAGAACCTAAGAAGTCAATTAACACTTAGTTAGCAGTGAATAGGTGTCCTTAAACTAAAGTGTCACTGCATATTTTAACACATTTTATTAAGTTGCACTATGGAAATTTTTAGTGGAGGTTCTGATCTCTGCTTATATACAAAGAGATGTTAACGCTTTGCTAAGAATAAGTATATAAGTTGCTCCGGAGTATAAGTCGCACCAGTTGAAAAATGTGTAATGAAGAAGAAAATGCTTTGTCGATCTGTCCAATGACTTCCAGGAAAGTTGCATGTTACCGTGAAGTTGTGTTCTCGATCCCCGCCTTTTGCCCATCCCTCACAACTTTCTTGCTCACTCCAAACTTTCCTTCTACTGCTCGATTACGTTTTTTGGCTTAATATTTCCCTACTTGCAGCAGGACAGCGACTTTTTCTGCAGGAGACATGCGCAGTAGAGCGAAGTGACAGTGGTACAGGAGTAATAGGAGTAGCAGATACTGGCACACAAGCCTAGCCCTATCGCTCTCTCACGGCTGTCAGTGTCAGAGTTTATATATAATAGTCGCAAGACCATCCAAACCATGAAAAAAGTACGACTTTTTCAAGGTATCTTTTCACCAAAGGCAATCAGATAAGTTTAATGCCATACTTTGGAAAACTCCAGGGATCGCAATAACATCTCCATAGAAAAAAAGCAAGAAAAGTGACCAAGTGTAATTTTATACATGAATCATTAGAACAGGTTGTCTCTCTAGTTTGGGCATCTGCTCAAACCATTACCATGACTACCATATTCAGATGTTCAAAACTCCTATTTTACAAGTAACAATAGACATTTAAGTGACATTTTAATATGGGGGTTATCAACGCTTTGGCATTACATGCAAGCTCGCGGGTATTGATATTAAACATATGGAAAATCACTGAGCTTTTGACCATATGAAATTTTTTGAGTCGTTCTTCCCTCTTCTTATCTCCGGAAGAACTGCAACGCCTATCAGAAGTAGCTAGCCATCCAATTTTCTTCCCAAAATGGTCTTGAAACTGCCACAAAACTTTGATTGTTTTTCCATGCTCGCTGAAGGATTCATTTTCATTCCTGTTGAACCAAAACACGAGATTATAGAACAGTGCTGTTAAATATCCCTTTAAACTTTTCACACAGCATCAGAACACGGTGCACTGCCAGTAATGAAGTCAGCGCAATAGTTTATCCAGAGCTTTTGCCGGGGAAATGTGGAGCAGATTTATAACTGGACACTGGGCAGTGAAATGTCCTGCCAGCGTCATAACTGACCAGATCCTTGTTGTTTGCATGGGTTGCGTGGTCATCTGTTTCAGGGAACACGTGCGGCCGCCAACCTCCTGATCTAGTGATGTCAAGTGTTTATCACGAGGCTTGAGCTCAGTTATTATAATGTCATGAGGGGATGAAACTAATTTGTTTTTGCAGTAAAAAAAAAACAAAACAATGTCATAGCGTCATTCACCTATTCAAAACTCTACAATAAAAATCTGAAAATAACCAGTAACAAGAAAAAATATGCAGATTCCACACAAGATATGAATTAGGGCCAAAAAAAAAAAAAAAATAGAGAGGTTCTTAATGTAATAAGTCAATAATTTAATGACAGACCAATAATGTTATAAATTTGGATAGCAGTGAGTAAAAAACTTGTCGATAATGTACTAAGTTATTATATTTTTGGCCTAGAAAATTGTCTTTAATAATGTACTAAAAGCCTCAGCCAATGATGCAATAACACAGAAAAAAAAAAAAAAAAAAAAAAACATCTTTCAAATAACATTTTTGGCGGACTTTGTACAGTTTTCTCCAAAAGCTTTAATGTAGGTCAAAGTTATTAGGGCGTCTCTACCAGAAAATTTGCGAAGTGCACCTTTAAAATTAAGTTTGTGCCTTGAAAAAAAAAACTTTAATTGGATTTACTGTAGACTGAAGCCATTTTTAAGCAGCTTTTTTGCCAAAGCATTACTACATTATTGGCCCACCAAAGTTTTTACATCATTGGCTTTGTATTACATCATCATCTTATTACAAAATTGACCAAAATTGTTGTAATTCGATTACTGGTGGTCATGATGTTTGTAGTTGCTACAGGGTGACATTCCACAGTCTTAAAAGTGCACTGTGTAACTTTTTGGTTGGGCGCCCGTTTGTTTTTATGGATATGTCATTGCTCTTCCCGGAATGTTCCACAGTATGACATTAAACAGCTCTACTTTACATTTAATAAATTACAGGTGGTTTTACAGTTTAAAAATACTAGACAAACGGGCATTCTGACTGTGAGCGGGGTTGCCTCTCCACAGATCTGACCTGTAACTTGGTCAGGTTTGGAGATGAAGATAAAAATGAAGATAAAAAGGTTAATAACATACTGTGAAACATTCCAGAGAAAGCAATAACAACATCTCCATGCAAAAAAAGCATTTGGCAGAAATAAAGTTACACAATGCACCTTTAATATAACAATTTTCGATTACTGGTTCATAGGGGTGTAACAATTACCAAAATATCGTGATATTGTATCGTCCAAACTATCAATAATATCGTGGACCATCACAATATATCGAATCACAAGTTTCTTTACTTAAATTCATTGTTATGGTGCAGCAATAGCTAAAAAAAACAGAAGGAACTACATAGACCATGATCCTTTGCTCTGTTTCGGTGCAAACTACATGAAGAAATAGAAGTTCTAAGCACTTTTAAATCGTAGTTATTTGAATCAAGACTTGTTAAGGCATTTTTGTTGGCTTCCACAAAATATATCAGTAAATATTGTACCGTGACATGTATATTGTGAAAATATCGTACAGTGAGATTTGGATATCGTTACATTCCTACTGTTTCAATATATGCTTTAGATTGTCTTGCGACGTAACACAAGTCATCTATTATTCTATTCTACGTCTTCTGATTATTCACTCTTCACTATGATTGAAGTCCACCTTTCACTTACCCAAAACATGCTAGAGGCTGATTAATGTGTGAGTGGGGGAAATGTGTTTGAGCATGCCACATTAAATAACATAATAATCACCACTGGAAATGAGGTCATGATTTGCGCCCAGCCATAATATGAATGTAGTTACGCCATTACAAAATTAAGGTTTTTATACCAGATGTCCTTCCGGTTGGATTTACTGTAATTGGTGGTTCAAAAAACTCTTGGTCCTCAACACTACTGCTGCCTCAAACAATATCTAAAACAGATAATCCATGCTATCAATCCAAGCTATTCAAATTGGCTTTCAGTTTTTCTCCGGAACTGTAATTCCTAAAATGTCTGTTTGAGCTCTGTTTTCTGTCATATACAGCTCAATCAAAGCAAATTCAAAGTCAGTGTTTAAATCTAAGCCAAGATCTGGTTACTTTTATAGTTCTAAAACTCCTATGAAAGTCAATCCGGACATTCATTCTCCATTTGAAAGGGCAAAAGTTTCCTAAAGCCAAAGTGGTGTAAGCTAACATTCCAAGGCCATTACTTGGTAACTTGGAAATCTTGTTCTATTTATTTTATAGCCGAGAGACACAATTGTTTCTCTAACCGTGTTCCTGTTGTATTTGGGCTGAACACAACAATGGTCAGATGTGGTCTTTCTTGTAAATGAATATTGCCTTAACAACAAGCATCTTGATTGATTAGCATCCCAAGGACATTACGTAATGTAAAAAAGGAAAAGAAATGACATGTTACATGCATGATTCCATGGAAAGGGAAAGTTAAGACCATACTTCAGAAGGAGATAGATACGTTTTATGTCCAGAGGAACCACATTTCCAAGGACAAGGCTCTCCTCCAGAACAAAAGTCAGTTTGTGGAGATAAAAGTCTGCTCACAAGTTTTTCAGTGCAACAAACACTACCAAAACTAAGATGCTTTATGTATTTTGTAGCTTAGAAGTTACATAAAATATTAAATATTAAGAATGAAAAAGATTGATAACATTTAGAGTAGAATAATATAACAATATCACAAATAACATCGTCATCGTGATCAAGATTTTTTTTGTGACATATT